AAAATTCTCGGGCTGAGGGACGGATTGCGAAGGACAGCCCGATCTCACTGCAGTTGTTGTCAGGTTTAGCATGGGCTAAACTAACTATACCCACACTGCTGTATTATTTATTGTACATTAATAATACACATTTGTGTTTGCCTCCAGGTGACTTTGCCGTTTTATTGAAGGCTGGGATGTCAGTGAAGCAAGCCATTGTGTACAACGTCCTCTCTGCTCTGATGGCTTATGCTGGCATGGTGATCGGCACGGCTGTGGGACAGTACACGCACAACGTCACCAGCTGGATCTTTGCCGTTACTGCTGGCATGTTTCTCTATGTGGCATTAGTGGATATGGTAAGAGAACCGAAATGTGGATTTATTTGCTTGCTAGTTGGGTTGCATAAATATGTTATAATTATTGATTGCTTGAAATGATTTATTACATGCCATCTTGGGGGCCTTGCATTCCACCGCACTGCTTGTCCATTGTTTTTTTATGTTAACATGCTCTAGATGGATGTTTGAGCATTATGCTCACGTCTCGTGTCTTTTGTAGTGTCTCATGCATGTCATTGTTTGTTAAAAGACCTTGCCAATTTTTTTTTTTTTTTATTCTACAGCCCCCCATTTTCAGTTTTCCAATGCAAACATTTGTGTGAATGGCCTAAGCTGACAACTGTTTGTGAATTCATTTAGTGCTGTTTTAAACATCAGTAAACATAGTCACATTGGGCCTCTAAACAGCATAAAAAGCACAATTATTCAAGTTTCAAATAAATTATACACAATATTATTGACAATATTAGAGGGCTTCCATTATAATCACCGAAGCTGTCAGCCATTGCATGTTCACAATGTTTGATCCCTGCAGTTCAGTACAAGCTCACTGAGTTCTGCACTTCTGTGAACAATTAAATGATTATAATCAACAAAGCTGTCTACACTGCACAATACAGTTCTTATTTACACTATTGATGCCTTGCTGATTATAATAGAAGCATTTTTTGTCCCAACACATTTTATTTTTGTCCCAAAACTGCAGCATGCAATATATATTGGGTGTTATACCTACATACTGTATGTCTAAACTGCAAACAAGTGGTGCGCCATCCAAATCCAGTATGATTCCAGAAGATGCACAAAGGTTTTTGCAATACATATTTTAATGTGCCATTACAAACGTGTGAAAAATTGAAACTAATCTGTAAATTGAATGCTGCAATCGACATCGTTCATAAATAGTTAATTGTTAGATCTTTTTTATTTAGATTTTGCAGCCCTTTCTCTAGATTATTGGTAATGCATAATTTATTGTATATGCAGCAAACCTTGATTTTTGTGTTTGTCATGAGCTATCGATGTTAGAATGTTATTTCTCCTCTTCTTGTTCTTCAGTTGCCAGAGATGCTTCATGGTGACAGTGAGGAGCACAAGCGCTGTGAGATGGGTCACTTTGTCCTGCAGAACTTGGGCATGCTCACAGGGTTTGGTCTCATGTTGCTGATCGCCATCTTCGAGGATCACATTGTGATTGACTTTGGCTTCTAGCCGGAGCCTGAGGTCAGGGGTGGCGTCATTCATTAGCTACATTCACACACGTGCTTTGCCTTAAAGTGGCTTAGTTTTGTGATGGTACAGTCTTGCAGGCATGTCTCAAAAGACAGCATCAGTAGCTTACAGTGGACA